ATTTTTGGAATCTCATCTGGTGGTTTTCGTTTTGGATATTTCATGGTAATTTTGATGGCATATCATGGTATATAATTCATGGGGATTTGAGCAACAAATCAAGGCTGGTTTTCATTGGGATTTCATGGGATAGTTCATGGGAATATCATGGGATGTTCCTGCAAACATATGGGAAAATCATGGGTATATCATGGAATATTCATGGGATATAGTGAAATTTTGCCGGAATATGAATGGGTTTTGGGTAGTATAACCGCCCAAATTGATAGCCTAAGAATGGGACCTATCATGGGAAAAGTTCGGCCCTCCAGGAGGATGATTTCACTGTGAAATTTATGGGAAAATGCCATGGGGATGTTAGCAAAAACACCTGGGGACTCACTTTTGAATATCGCTGGGTAGTGATTTCAGCTGAACAATTGCCATTGCCAACTTTGATTGGCAAAGGATGAGTACCTATTGCAAATTTAGATTACCTATTTAGATTGGATAGTTTGTGATTACTATCATCAGAATTAGATTTCTTCTCTTACCCTTCAGTGTCATTAAATGTGGCTGGGAAATGGACCTCCCCTCCCTCAAAATGTCACGTTTTTATTGGGGAAATCATCGATTTCCCAATGGTGGACGAACTCCAGCCAGCCACGTCTGACGTTTGAAAAACGATGGGGATTTCACTGATTTCACCATGGATTTTTTGCTAAAAATGATCCCTTGAAGTCGAGATGCCCTCTAAAAAAAGCCAGTTATATCCCGCGGGTGAAGTCGCCAAGATTATGACCTCATTAGCTCAGAAAACCCCCAAATCAACCATTGATAGATCATTATGACTGATTATACACAATTATTTACCAATTTTCCTACTATGATCTTCTATGTTTGCACTAAATAGACTAAATCGGCTCAATGATCATTTATAGATCCATCCCTTTTCCCATGATGTCCTATTGTCGTCCTATGATTCAATGGAACATCTCAAGGCAAAATCAAACAACTCATACCCCTTTTCCTATTGTTATCTCTCTTTTTTCGCAGGAAATCTCTACAAAAACCCATCCAATCTGATTGGTCGCCTCGATCTTTTTGTCGAAGACATGTTCTTCAGCCCGCTGCGTGAGGCACACGATGTGGATCACCATCTGCCGTGCGCTTGGGCTGCTGCTGGCGGCTTGGGGGAACAGCCAAGAAATGGGTTACTCTCCGATGACCTAAGAGTTGGCCATGGAAAAACACCATAACCCTCTGGGTAATCACCATTATATATCCCATTTATATTTCCATCATGATGGGATTAAAAATCATCGGACATAGTAATGATGGGAATTCTATATCCCATTAAACCCAAAAGGGAAATCCTATAGATGATTATCCATTACCCTCTGGTAAACTTTCACATAACGAACTGGAAAATCCACCCATTTTTCAAACCCTCTGGTGAAACCGACGAACTTTCTATGGCCATTTTTCAATAGCTTGAATCACCAGAGGGTATGGGATATGACCCGTTACTAACGGGATTTTGTGGAGACATAGTGATTAAAAACCAAGCATATAATGGGATTCAAAGCCTACTGTAAACTCACAAAAAGATGTGGAAAAGCAACCAGAATGGTAGAACACATGGTTTTTCACATGATTTTGATAACAGTTTACCCTCGGCGATAGAGTAGGTCGGGTAGTTTTTGCTGGTTATAACTAACCATAACCAACTTGGAGAATATCTCACGGCTTATTGGAGAATGAACCAAAGCCCATCATGTTTTTTTCACTCCATCCACTGGCTTTCATATTTCATAGCTGCACATATCCCAGCCATGACAAATATCTCAAAATTGTGGTGAATGATCCCCTTAGCTATCATAAATCAGCCACAAATCCCATGAAATCCCACATTTTTCTTGGTTCAGTCGCCATTTTCCTAGGTCTCCCTATGATTTTCCTATGGTCTTCCTATGGTTTTCGGGGATCACTCCCTCCTTTCTTTCCCGTTTCCGTTTCGGTCGTTTCGCCTGTTGCTGCTGCCAAGGTGAGGATTGATAGATCTGCTGGTATTGTAGCAGCGATTGCAACTGAGCCAGGGTTTGCACCTCAAAACGTAAACGGTCTCAGCAAAAACCCATGAGGGTTTCCATAGCCATGGGAGTACCATGGGGTACCCCAATAGCTGGATGGTTTATTTCATGGTAAATCCCAATCGAAAATGGATGATAAATCGGGGTACCCCCATGAATTGGAAACCCCCATATATGTTTATATTCATTTATATCCCATTGTTCCATGATGTTAAAGTGATGTTGAATGGTCATGAATGGCCATGAATGGCTGTGTTTTTCTACACATGTAAATGTACGGGCAACCCCCTGGAAAAACCACCAGAAAACAACTGGCGATCACCCTGTGAATGTAGGTGAATGTGAATCAACCTGAGAATGTTGGTTGCTTTCATCCAACTGTGCTATGAAAAAAAACCATCTTCAACATTAAACCATCCAATCGTGGCTACGATTCTTATGATCATTTCCCCAATGGTTTGGCCAAATATGGATTCAACCCCACAGGATCCTTTATTGGTTTGTCTTCCCATTATTATTGGCATCTATTTGAATCCCGTTTCAGTTGATTAAGTCTCCATCATTATCGGATAAAACCAACTTTTCAGAATCAGCCGCATCATCATTGATGAGATTTGATAAAACCCAAATTTTCCAACCTAAAATCCACAAATTCCACATTTGCCCAGCGAAAATCCAATTTTTTCCCCGAGCAAAAACCACATGTTCCATGGAAAAACCCATGTTTTCCCACGGTTTCCGCACCTGCGCTGGTCCTCCGGGCGGCTGCGGCACCGCCGGTGGCAGCGGCAGCACGGCCGGCGGCTGCAGTGGCGGCGCGCCGGCGGCGGGCCGGCGGCGCGGCCGGCATCGCCGGGGGCAGCGGCGGCTGCGGTGGCAGGCCTTGAGACCGCTGTAATTACCCTCTGGTAAACCATAGGAAAACCATAGGAAAATGGTGGTTTAATGGGATTTAATGGGAATATCAGATGGTAAACTAACATAACTATGGAGAATCACCATTTTTAATGGGACAACTCACTATTTTGATGGCCATTTTCAATAGCTTTTTGTATGTTTACCAGAGGGTAACGGCGACCGAGAATCATTGATCTAGGGACTTGGGCATGAAATATCGCGATAAACAAAGAGAATTTCTTGGCTATTGACATGGATTCACTGAAATCAAGCACCTCAGGCCACAAAAGAGGTTGATTCAACGGAGGCAGAGTACAATAGCAAGTTTCAGCCAGAGATGGCATTGGCATTATATCCCCAGATAATTGACACCCAAGTTATCCCCAGATACCAAGTTATCCTACAAAAATCCAGATCCCATATCTGGGGATATACCGATATACCAAGTTTCAATGATAATTATCATCGGCATTATATATATATACCAGATACCAGATCCACTAGTGGCTGGCAATTTATATATATAACCACTATAGAATATCTATGGATACCATTTTACCATTTAAGTATTAGATGAAATGACTAGAATGGAGGAGTACCCCCTAATTTTCATAAACCATGGTTTAGCAAAATCCGGGGTTGACATTATATGGCTATATACCCAATCCCCAGATACCAAGTTGATGCTGGGGATGGGATCATCCCAATGGAGCGAGCGATGTTGAGCTGAGCTGGTGATGTGAGTTGCAGACGTTCGACGTTCGACAGACAAAAACGTGGCTTTAGATCCATCGAAATTCCCAAGTCTCATGAAAAATCTCAGAAAAATCAGATCTTTCTGAACTTTGAACATTTGAACCACATTTTTGTTGCTGACCAATTGATGGGACAATCACCTCAATGGCCAGTCCCTGTTCCGCGGATGACGTCAACCCCGTTTTGAGGTCCGGACCTGGTACCTTGCAAAAAATGGTTGGGTCAGGTTACTTGAAGAAAAAACCCTCAAAATTATTTCTGGAAAATCCAATGGCCAAAGTACATCATGAGGGGAATGATGGAAGATACCACTGGCAGGCTTGGAACTCTCAGATATTTTAATAGATCCTGAGGTCTGAAACCTGCTTCAAGTACCAAAGATCTCCGGAAAATTTCTTCAGGTTCAGGTTACTGCAGTTTTACCCGTTGAAAAGGCCATGGTTTCTCAGTGATCCTGGCTGGATAATCCACCATTTCCCCATAGGATTTTCCTGTTAGCCCCCCATTTCTGGAGGTAGATGCGTGACGGCTTCCCTCCAAGACTTGACAAACGAGAGGGCGGCCACAAACTTCTTGAAGCTGATCCATCTTAGTCCATCTTTGATTTAAGATATTTTCAATTTATGAAGCTTTCTGTCGCTTCACATCCTTCTGCGAAAAATCATCATCGTTGGATAGACGCATAGATCCCAATTCTCAAATGTTGACACACATCTTTGCTGTTTTTTTTGTCAAAACATCACCCAGATAGAGAAACTTTTTACTAATCGTCACCCAGGGGAAGCACCCCAAATGGTTGATTTTTCCCAACTGCGATTCCTTTTTTTCAGTGATGGCTGATGATTGGTTCAACAAGCCGGTCATGCTAACTACCCTCTGGTAAACTAACGTAGCTATAGAAAATCACAATTATTAATGGGTAAATAACTATAAATGGCAATTTTCAATAGCTATGTTAATTTACCAGAGGGTAGAAATCATGATTTATAAACCATGATTCGCTAGTCATATCCGCATTAATCATTTTTAGTATCTCCATCAATCATCTCATATCTGGTTGTTAACGCACAGTCTGGTCACTTCCTAAGATTATTCTAGATCATTATAGATCAATTGTAGATGATTATTCTAGATTATCATAGTTTTTATCATTAGTTCTATTATATTATGATAGATATATTACATGATTCTAGATTAAATTATAGATGACAATATATAGTCATCATGATCCCATAGTTTCCCTCGTTTTTTGTCTTCGCGTCTTGGGATCTCCGCCTGAGGGAGTTCATCCTTTGCTTCCAAGAAGTTCCTCAGTTGGCTCCAGTTACCTGTGAAATGACCAGATCAGCGGGAATTTATTCATCCAGCTATACCATCCATCATGGATATTCCATATGTATATATACTATATATGTATATATACACTATATATATATATGTGTATATATATATATATATATACACACTATATATATATATACACACACTATATATCATCATATAGCCTCTGGTAAATTAAGAGTTCGACCCTGAACATCACCCATTTTTGAGTGGCAATTCATCTGAAACAATCCCTATCTGCGAGGGTCTATGTCAATTTACGGGGTAGCTGATATAACACACGTGATGCAACAGAACTTGTACCAGGAAAGATGGCATCTGCAATCGATAGAAATTTGCTTTCATCAGCGATTGTCAACCGCCAGGTCTTTTGAAGGGCCAACCGCTCATGCACGTGCCGAATAAAAATCGGAAAACCCATGGGAAAACCCAAAAATCGAAACGTCGCCAAATGGTTCGCTACAGGGGTGGTAAAAATCGCATTACGGTTGCCCCATTATCCACTGGCAGCCAGCAATATGGTGGGCTATGTCCAGTTGTTTACCCATAGAATCTAGCAATTGTGATACGATGTAAAAAATATATATCAATTTATCTGATGGTCCGATTTTTTGAGAACTGCAATTTCCCAGTGAATTCAAACAGTGGTGAGATGACCCACACCCTCTGGTAATCAAACATGGATTTGTCCAAATCCATGAACATCCAGCATTTCTGGATGATGTTCCTGAAAAAATCCCATTCATAGGGGATTTCTCATTACCCTCTGGTAAACATGCAAAAAGCTATTGAAAATGGCCCAGTCGAAATAGCGGATCTACCCAGCTATAAAATGGGTGGATTTTCCAGTTCGTTATGTGAAAGTTTACCAGGCCGGGTATATCCTATTAAATCCCATTAAATCCCATTAAACCACCATTTTCCTATGGTTTTCCTATGGTTTTCCCATTACGTTCTTTGGCCAGAGGGTACTTGTCACTGTTTCCCGGTGGTTCCCGGGACTCGCACAAAACGCTCTCGATCTGTGACCAGACGCGGGAATCCTCAACCGGCGGCCACAGCTTCGCTAAATAAAACCTGTCTAAGCTCAATAAGAAACTATGGTTTATTGGGATTTAATGGGATATATGATGGGATATATGATGGAAATGTTATGGGAAAATCTATACCCGGCCTGGTAAACTTTCACATAACGAACTGGAAAATCCACCCATTTTATAGCTGGGTAAAATCCACTATAAATGGCCATTTTCAATAGCTATGTTAGTTTACCAGAGGGTAAGCTCAATAACAAACTATGGTTATAGAATGTTATAGATATATATATAGATATATGATATCCAGTTATTTTTTTTATGGTTAGAGATATATGATATATCCACTATGATTATCCTCTTGGCTAAAAACGGTTGGCAATAAACTGGATCTTTTGGGTACAGTTCTTGGTGTAAGGTTTACCAGATGAAGCCAAGAAGAAAGGTCTGGATGTTGTCTCCGGGTGAAAGATTAGGGGGTGACTGAAAAACACAAACGCTGGGATGCAGCTCCTAAAACAATGGCAAAGTATGGCCACATTATATCCACTTGTAATCATGGTTAGATATATCCAGATATATCCACTATGGTTATAACTATGGTGAAATATGGGGATGGGTCAAAAACCTGGTACCTAGTGAACCCCAAAATAGCTGGTAAATGGATGTTCACCCCACTAAAAATGGTATTAATAGGTATTGACCCATACACATATATCCACTCCAAAACTGGAACAACAGCCTATTTCGAAAAAGGCCACTTCCGACAACTTCCAGTTCGGTCCTTCCCATCACTCTCTGCATCGTCTGCAAAGGCCTGACAGATGGCGATGGCCATGGCCAGTAGAGGATTATCCACATACAGGATGGGGCCCCCAAGATAGCTAAGTTGGATTATAAGTGGCTTAACAATGGTTTATGGTGGATATAACTATAGTTAATGGGGATTATAGTGGTTTATAAACCAACTTGTAACTATGGGGCCCCATCTTGTAGCCACGTGACTGATTAGAGGGTAAACCACAGAAATAGGGATGACATGGCCATGATTTGACGTGATCTTTCACCAACTAAAATAAGGGATACCAATAGTAATCGACCCAAAAGCTCAACCCACCCTGCGAATTGTCAAATGCGAACACCATCTTGTGTTTTTCTGATGGACATATTCTTGCAACCAAGAGCCGGCAAGGATGCTGAAATTGGATATGGTATGGTTCAAAGCTATGTTTGCCCTGCCTTGGATAATTCCAAACATGATTTTTCTGAGAACACATGAGCCATAAAACATATCCCTCTCCTATCCCATCTCATGAAATACTCGTTCGTTGACAACGGTTTCCCAATCCTATGGGTTAGAACATCATCCCCAGTACCATCTGGTTATTTAACATAGCCATGGAAAGATCCACCATGCTATTAAGTTCGGTAAACCATCTATTTCGATTAGGGCCATCGAAAAACCATGGCAAACTGTTAGTCATAACCAGATGGTAAATTCGGCACTCTCAGTCCCGAGTTCGGATCACCAACCAGGGGTATTTTGTTCATTGCTCCCATGGCTCGGCTTTTTACTGTGCTCCATCCCCATCAACCAGGGTCAAATGAACTTGGAAGTTGTGCCTCGAACATACCACCCATTTCGTTCGATGATTTCCCCATTAGAAAAAGCACCAGTTTAGAGATTTTCATAGATTTTCTGTTTGATTAGCGGTATCCCGATATTCTATCTGAAGGGTAGTACAATCCCCGAAGTCATCAGAAAAGCCAACAGGGCTTTTGACCGTTTTGACCACCTCAGATCAGCTGGAATGGTTCGTTGCCTTCAGTGGATTCCAGCAGTACATCCCCCGACAAATCAAGAGGGCCATCACCTGGAGCGTATCGTGGTGGATTTCCATGGGGAATTTTCATGGGGAACCAACAAAAAATGAGGAGAGTTTAATGGGGATTTAATGGGAATGAATGGGAATATCATGGATGAATGATGATTGATGATTGGTTCAGGGATCATACTAACTAATACATATATGTATATATATAAAAATAATATATATATATATAGTTTCACCAACAGAATAAAACGGATGAAACCGCTAAGAAAAAAACAACAGAATGGAATGGTGATGAAAGCCGTTACAGTGGACCTTCGACAATCGACCAGGGCCCATTGTAACGACCAATTGATGGGGCATCTACTGCTTATGCCGTCCAGTAATCTATGGAGCAACTATAGATTTATGACTGTAGATGGTTATATATCCCATATCATCTTACTATATTTCCATTCATATCCCATTCATATCCCATCGAATTTCCATTTTTGATGCCTATCGTAAGATGATTAACTATACGGTTATACTATAATAAACGTATTTCATATTTATTCCCGTTCATATCCCATTCAAAAATGACAAAAAGTGCAAGCTCGATTCAAACTGGCGCCTTCTTTGAATCAATCTTTCTGAGCCTCGCAAGCCTGGCTCTTGGAAAAAATCAACTGTTGGCAGCTGGTGGTAGATACAGTATCTGGGTATGGGTCATTATTTAAGGCTACCGGAACCAGAAATTCTGTTCATTCTCGGATTGAACCTCCAATTTTGAGGGCATCGAATTTTGATACATACCCATTTGGGGTGGTGGTGGACAATCATCTGTAGTTGCCTGGGTAAACATAAAGCAGTTTAAAGGTGGGCGCACCACTTTGTAGGTTCCTTGATAGTTTTGCAGAATACCCTTGAAATGGGATGTTTAGTCATATGATGCTACGGTATATTGGAAAATAAACCGACTCAAAAGTCCCACAAAGGAAAGGATTCTTATTCGAATTCAACATATCCCAATCAAAAGAGGTTGTAACCAAACACCGTCCATCTAATAGCAGATTACAACCATTTACAAGTGGGATGCACCCTCTGGCCATCAAACATTGCGATGGAAAATCCACCATTTGGATTTGTTCTCCCATTAAAACACAATTGTCTTTTTCCATGAACACAAAATTTAGAGCGGATTTTTCCATTGCCACGTTAATTACTGGAGGGTATCAGAAAGAAGGACCAAGAAAAAGATACAGTAGTGGATTCGCTCCTGAATCCAACACTGAATCTTCTCACTGTCACCAGTAGCACTTCTGAAACCACAAATTCAATGACTGCTTATTGGTTTTACCTATCTTGAAAAATGATGGAGTTTGTCAATGGGTTTCGGATGGCATCCCATATATGAACTGGAAAGTAAAATTCCATGTTTTGAAACCACCAACCAGTTATTATTGACCATTATTATTATTATTAACCACTATTAACCATTATTAACCATTATTAACCATTATTAACCATTTATTATTAACCATTATTAACCAGATGATGATCTTTATGGTCATTTTTCATAAAGGAAATGACTGGATCACCACTGGATCTGTGCACCTCGCAAGTTCTTTGGCACGTGCCATCGTTGAGGCCTCACGACGTTCTTCGTTCAAGGAATGGATCTGATTTTCTTGCCGGTGAAACGGGGAAACCTAAGCTTTCATGGTTTAGGACATCATTGTCCCTACTATTTGGAAACAACTAAATTACTAAATGACATGATGGGCTTTGATTGAGATTTTCAGCAGCAGTATACCAACCGACCCGCGCGGAGCCTGAAAATTGTTGCACAACTTTCCCTTGGTGAACACCAAAATGGCTGGAATTTATTCATGTTCATCCAAAAATATGGCACCCTCTGGTAAACTAGCATAGCGATGGAAAAACACGTTTTTTAATGGGTAAATCAACTATAAATGGCAATTTTCAATAGCTATGTTAAATTACCAGAGGGTATATGATATAACATTTTCTGGTCAAAGATGATCCATTTTTACAAAAAAAATCACCCAGAAAAGATGAAAAGGTGAACATCAAAAATCCCCTATGGCCATCTCTTAATCTTCAAGGTTCAGGTGTTGTCGCAGCGCTTAAATCCACTTCGAGGATTAAAGCATGTTCCAATTTTTGTTGGATTCAAATCCACTTTTTTGAAGGATTATCCGGCCCTCCAGCAAACTAACATAACTATGGAAACATCAAATTCGATGTTTTTCCCACTCAAATTTCCGTTTGTACAAATTTTCCATAGTTTTGTTCGTTTACTGACTGATATTCCATTGCATCTCATGGATATTCCATAAATATTCCCATTACATCCCTATGAAAATTCATATTATAACTATATCCATTACATTATTGGATTATAGATGTTTTTCCCATTCAAATCTCCATTTTTCACGGGTATTTTCCATATTTTTTCTCCCACATCATCCATATTTTACTTTAGGATTTTCCATTCTAAAACACATCCAGCTATTGGGGTACCACCATTGTAGTAAATCCTTTAAAAAAATCCATTCCATTCCATCCCCATGACATTTCCCATTACCCTCTGGTAAACTAACATAGCTATGGAAAATCACCATTTTCAATGGGTAAATCCACTATAAATCACCATTTTCAATAGCTATTTTGACATAACCAGAGGGTAAATCCCATTAAAACCCACATTTTTCTCGGTGAAATCCTCCCGTTTTTGGTTCCCCAAACTCTGCACCTTGGCTGCCGCAGACTTCTCTGGCGCGGCGGCGGCGGTGCCGGGCGCGGTTGTGGGGTCGGACCTGGTGGAAGCGGTTTGGAAGGTCTTGGGTCAATGGGAAAACCATGGCAAAACCATAGGAAAACCATAGGAAAATGGTGGTTTAATGGGATTTAATGGGAGTTACCCTCTGGTAAACAAACAGTTTGCGAACTGGAAAATGGTGATTTATAGTGAATTTATCCATCAAAAATTGGTTATTGGTGATTAGTTATTAGATATTAAATTTGGGGATAAAAATCAAGAATATGTATTTAATAGCCGCACATCCCGGGCATCTCGCCATTTTCCATGGGAATCCCCAATTGGAGGTACCTACCATATATAAGGCCTATTTTTTAGGCCTAAAATTCAGGGAATATCCCCACAAAATATCCCACAAAATATGGCCTTATATGGTACAGTACCTCCATTTTAGGATCCTGAAATTCCCATTGATTGGGGATGGAAAAAAACTATGGGAATTCTATGCAGGATGGCGCCCCCAGTCGAGCTCGCGTTCAGTTGGTTTATAAGTGGCTGAATTCTATGGTTTATGGTAGATATAACGAACTGTTATTGGTGTTTATAATGGTTCATAAGCCAACTGATAACTATGGGCCCCCATCCTGTATGGATATTAAAGAAATATATGATAATTATATATGGGAACTATGTATATATATAATAGATAATCATTGATCATTGATATGAATAATATCTATGGAATAATCTATGGAATAATCTATGGAATAATCTATGGAATAATCTATGGAATAATCTATGGAATAATCTATGGAATAATCATTATTCACATCTGTGGAAAAATCTTACTCCTATTCAGATATTATAAGGGTATATGAATAGGGGTAAGATTATTCCAAGATATGAATAGTATACTAATAACAGGGGATTCTACATAGATTCTTGATATCAAAGAATAAATTATAGATATTAATGGAGCGGAAACATGTGAGAATTGTATATTGATAACAAAATTGGTATGTGAACAGCGCTAAAACGATTCCATAGAAATTAATAGTATATTGATAATTACAACCATAGTAATGGTATATTTGGAACTATAGTCAATCCTACTATATATCTTCAACTTGGAAATATGTATTCAACATGGAATGGTAATTAGAAAAATATTATCTCAAATGTCTAATCACCAATGGATAATGAACATAATGATCCTAAGGGAATGCAAAGCAGTGGATAAATAATATGTACAATAACTGACACATTTAGAATACAATAATAGATTTTGATCAAGAATATGCGGGAATGGGTCTTGGATTTGAAAACATATGTTCCAAGAGCGGATGTTTAGAAATACTTGTTTCCAATAATATTTGATACATGTACGTAATCAAAAGGAATTTTCCAAAGATGGTCATTGGTTATTGGATATTAATTTTGGGGATAAACATCGAGAATATGTATTTAATAGCCAAACATCAATGATAATGGGCAACAAGGGATGTGACCAACATTATAAGGAGTTTTAACCATCAAGTTTGTGGGTATTAAAATGGGAATAATCATGGAATTATGGAGATGACGGGACGACTAACCAGTGACCAATGGAGACAATGTGATTCCATGGGGATCAAAGGTCGACGGATGGGGACGAATTATGGTTTCAACCTATCCCCAAAGTAGGGTATATCCAGATTATGGTTGCAATTTCACTCAAAATCCAATCTTCATGGGCAACTTCTCTTTTTTTATTGCCTCAAAGCCTCAAATGCGAAAATCTTACCAACAGGATGGTGCCCCCCAATTATGTTGGTTTATAACCCCATTAACTATAGTTCTATCTACCATAAACCATAGAATTCAGCCACTTATAAGGCAACTTAGTAAAATCACCACTTTTGGTTGGTTCACCTCCCTTGGAGATTCGCTCGGATTGATATACCTCATGATATCCTGTGCTTAGTACAACTATTCTCCTGTAGATGATCATGATCATACCCCATCAGCATCACGCTTTTTCGTGGATGGTTTCATTATTCAATAGGAAACAATGCAATAAGTCTTCATGATCATTGCGCCCGCAGATTTTGTGATCAATCATCTATAGCCACCTTAAAAATCGTAATCATCTAATTATCCGGTATGATATAGGACATACAGCTTTGGCATATTATCTGGTCTTGGCACATTGGATAAATCTATCTTGAACACTAACTACTTTAATCAGTATATTAAAGATTCCAATCTGAACCTACTTTTGAGTATCAGTATTTAGTATGAACATACACTAATGGATACTAATGCAATAACATTGAAATATTCCAAATCAATTTGTATCGGATATTTGATATTGGAAATAGATAGGTGCATTGTATTGTATTCATAGTGGAATTATTGGATACACCTATCATATAGTATGAGATTAAAAATATGGTTGGTGTAAATATATCTTAAACTCAAATATATCATGTATCCAATATGAATATCCCATACTTTACATGTAAATAGTAATTATATATGGATGAAACTGTATACCCAAATGTAGCTATATATTCGATATCTAATTTACTAAACATTGAATATCAAGTGGTATTATCTATTATATAAAATAGTGAAAATATCTATTGGCAATGTATTCAGTATCCGACAGATATATAGATATTGAATATAGATAAACATATGTATACCCAAAAAAACTATACATAGATAAAGAAATAATAAATAAATAAAGAAAGAATATATTAATCAACAAATAAATATAATATATATATATACATACATACATATATATATATACACATCTGGAAGGGGCCTTTACGTATAGCATGACGGGCTGTGGTAATTTCTATATACTGAAATGTGACGTGAGACAAGGCTGTATCAGAACCCACCTACAGGTCTTCAACAGCGTGCAACGCACGTGAAAATTTTCCTTAATGCTGTAGTTTTGGTGCCTTGGTCTGCACCTTGCGCTTGTCTAAATTTTGTGATGCAACGATGTTTGCCAACAAGCAAGCCAGGGCTGTATCAGAACCTACCTACAGGTCTTCAACGGTTTGCACCGTGCGTGCAGTTGTTCCTTCATGCCTTTAGTTTCGGTGGTTCCAAATAATCTCAACGTGCAGTGGCTCACCCACGTTATTCCAACACGTTTTCGTTGAGCAACGTCTCTGAGCAAGGATCAGAAACGAATCAAAGCATGAATGCTTTTGCTGCATGACATAAATCTAGAATCTCAACGTGATGCTAAATACGTGCCCGATATGATCCCGACACCGGACTGACTAGGAAGGTTGATGCAACTCAAGATGGGATATATGCTCTACGACACCTGTGTTTAAGGGGATGGAGGGCGGGAAAGCTTCAATGAATAGGGTTTTGGCTAAACCTTGAACCAACGTGCATTTGTCGAGTCGCCTGCCAAGCACTACGCGTATTCTTTATATATATATATACACATATATATAAATATATATATATATACATACATACACACACATATATATATTATATATATGTAGATGTATATATGTATGAGCCGCCGTCAAAATCATACGTCTTTGCCTTGCTTAAAAAACAGAGGGTATCGCTATTTGGGGGGGGCCTATCGCTAACCATTAAATATTTCTACCATCTCCCTTGGTTGAGGGGTATGATGCTGTATGCTGCCACAATAGTAAAATAGGTGCTATGGAAAGTTTGGGCGCAAGTATATTTTTATATAATGGGCCGGACCACTCTTTTTACAAGTTGGAAATTACAGCCCTTTATTTTGATTTAGGGGTATCTTCCTTAGTATTCCAAACAATCCTTTTATGGAAAGGGTATGGTCTGTCCATTTTGGAAGGTGTCCAAGAGTGCCATTCAATAAGCCTTCAGTCAAAAGTGATTTTTGCTTCATCAACTTATGGGGGTTTCTTATTACGGGAGATCCTAAAAAGCATGGGTTTCAACACTAACATGATCTAACTTGGATGGTTTGGGAATCCTTCCGTTGTAGGAAACCTCCATATGTTTATATCTTCGATTTCGCAAAACACACTCCTTGCAAGTTGAAAACGTTTACCACGGCCCTAAGGACACCGTTTACCACCCCATTCCTACCGTTAAAGCCCTTTACCAGTTTTAAATGGTTGTAAATGGTTATAAGTGATGTTATCATTCCATAAATGTTGTTAAGACTAACTTACCACAGGTAAGGGGCTATAATAACTTTACTCGAACCTCTTGCAGTTTGGCACCGCAACGCAAACTCATGGATCGAAGGCCTTCATGGATGACAGTCCCACTTGGTAGCTGGGTAATAGCCCTAAAATCCAATTACTTCAACTTTAATTCAAGTTTTCTATCAATTACAGCAGTCATACTAACTAAAAACTAAGAGCAATTGTTGTCCCGAGGTCTGAAGCAATCATGAACACGGCTGACATTTTGTGGCTCTGCGAAACGTTTCCTGCACAAGGTTGGTTTTCAGCACTTTAGTTGTTTCCACATGAAACCACCAGCAGTGCCCGGACGTGCCAGTCATGGAGTGCTGTTTCACACAGCCTACCGGTCTTATGGAAGCAAAAGAAAAACAAGACGATCCGGCACCAACCTGTGCTTTCAAAGTTCGAAGCCAACATATATCTTCATATTTCATCACAAGGGCAGGGATTATCCAGACTGAAGTACCGGCCATGGAGTGCCGTGTTGTTTCTCACAGCCTACCGGTCTTTAGAGAAGGGAAAGCAAGACAGCCCATCGCCAACCTGTGCTTCGGAGATGTTGAAATTTTGTCACGAGAGCGGGGATCAATCATCCCTCATATGCCTAAAAAAATATATGTATATTTAAATATGTATATATAAATAAATAAATATATATATATATATAAATAAATAAATATATATATATATATATATATCAAGATTTGTATGTATATTAAAAGCAAACTCCTGCACAAAATGCCATTAATCTGTTTATGTCAAATAAGTCTATGTACATATCTATCTGTATATATATATATGTGAATACGATGAGTAGAATTACGAACAAGAACTGATTTACATACATAAG